GAGTCGCAGATATGCCAAGCGTGCACAAGAAATGGCCGAAGGATGTTGTTCCAAATGCTGTGCTACTTGAATGCAACTTTTGATCTGGTTGCTAGAGCCAGAATATGCATCCAGATTTGCAGTGTGTTTGAAAAACGTGGAAGCAGGCTCATTTAATTGAATGGGCGAGGCGTAACATTGGGTCTGGCGAGAAGCGTTAATACTGCTGAAGTCGAAGTTGCAGCTTCTAGGTTGCTTATTATCAAAATGCAGCTGTGGCGAATGTGCACTATTTTGTGCAGATTGTTACGGACTGTTGGTAAATGCCGCAGGATGAAGCAGCGTTGAAAACTGCGGGTTAGGTGGGCCAGTTTTCTGAGGTGCTGCCTCAGTCTTAGGGCCTGATGGCAAGAAATGTTGCGAGGCAGATTGCACGGGAGGCACATCAGTCAGCTGAGGTTCGAAAGGATGCGGCGCAGGAGGCAGCGGCCTGCCCTGTTGCGTATTGCTTTCAGGAAAGTTGGCTGAAGAAACTGCCTGTGGTGGCACATTGTTGGGAGATGTTCTCCTAGAAAAACTCAATGTGGTTTGCCCTAAGGCTCCATGCTCACGGCTGGCAGCCACAGCATCTTCATTGTTGGTTGGCGTGGGCGACCGAGGCTGCGTCGCAAGCTCGCCGAGAAGGTCAAGAAGCTGGTTGAATGTTTGCAGGCTTATATTAGCAAAAATTATGCACACGGAAACAGCAGAGGAGGATAGAAATATGGTGAGTTGACACACCTCTTGATGTAGGCGTTTGGTAATTTGAGAAGCTCACAATCCCACGTCATGTTCTTCAATGCTTATTATCGGTGTGTGAAGTTAAATGCAAAGACACTGACTTTCCAAGGGAGTACACTCCAACTAACTGATAATTTCTAACCCTAACATCAGCTTCTGCTATTTCTCCTTTAGATGTTCGTGCATACCCACAACCAATATATACCACGTTACCACATACTTCGGCATTTGGACGCAAAAGAAATTGAGAAGGCACGCAATGAATTCAAGTTAGGGCAGCTGCGTGTTGCGATGGTTGGTAGCTTCTTCATACCAGGCACACAATTCGTCGCAGTTACACAATACAAAAATGCCGAGGTTGCTGAAGTCAAAATCGATGAAAACCCGTTTGCCGGTGGAAGGCGTAAGCGCAAGCGTGGAGGCAGCTCTGCGTCCAGTCTAAGCTGAAATTTTGTGCAAA